ACATCATACTCAACTGTGAAAGGTTGAAAGCTTTTCCTCTAGGATCAGAAATAAGACAAGGTGCTCACTCTCATTGCTCCTATTCAGCATAGTACTGGAAGTTCAAGCCACAGCAATTAGGCAAGAAAAAGAAATGAAAGACATCCAAATAGAAAGGAAGAAGTAAAATTATGTCTGTCTGCAGATGATATGATCTTGTATATAGAAAACCCTAAGGACTCCACCAAAAAACTGTTAGAACTAATAAACTAATTCAGTAAAGTTGCAGGATACAAAATCAACATACATAAATCATTTGCATTTCTATACCCTAACGATGAACTATGTGAAAAGAAATAAAGAAAGGAATCTCACTTACAATTGCATCAAAAAAATTAAAATAATTAGGAATAAATTTAACAAAGAAGGTGAAAGATCACTATACTTAAAATTACAAGACTTTGATGAAAGAAACTGAGGAAGACGCAAATAAATGGAAAGATATCCCGTGCTCATGGATCAGAAGAATTAGTATTACTAAAACATCCATATTATCCCAAGCCTTCTACAGATTCAATGCAATACCCATGAAAATTCCAACGATATTTTCTACAGAAATAGAAAAAATAATCCAATAATTTGAATGTAACCACAAAGGACTCAAATAGCCAAAGCAATCCTGAAGAAGAACAAAGCTGAATGCATTACAATTCCTGATTTCAAACTATATTACGAAGCTATAGTAATCAAAACAGTATGGTACTGGCATAAAAACAGACAAGTAGACCCATGGAACAGAATTGAGAGCCCAGAAATAAACCCACACCTATGCAATCAATTAACATTTGACAAGGGAGCCAAGAATACTCAGTGAGGAAAAGATGGTCTCTTCAATAAATGGTGTTGGGAAAACTGGACAGCCACAAGCAAAACAATGAAACTGGACCATTACCTTACACTATACACAAAAGACGACTTACAATGGATTAAAGATTTGAACATAATACCTGAAACCATAAAATTCCTAGAGGGAAATAAAAAGGGTAAGACCCTTGACATCAGGGTAGGCAATGAATTTTTGGATTTGACACCAAAAGCAAAGGTAATGAAAGCAAAAATAAAAAAGTGGGACTACATCAAGCTAAAAATCTTCTGTACAGCAAAGTAAACTATCAACAAAATGAAAAGTCAACTTAATGAATGAGAGAAAATATTTGCTAATCATACATCTGACAAGTGGTTAACATCTAAAATATGTAAAGAACTCATACTACTCAACAGCAAAAAATCAAACAATCCTATTAAAAAATGGGCAGGGGATCTGAATAGATGTTTTTCTAAAGAAGACATACCCAACAGGTACATGAAAAGGTGCTTACAACACTAATCATCAGGGAAATGCAAATCAAAACCACAATGTCACCTCACACCTGTTGGAATGTCAAAAGACAAGAGACAAGTGTTGGAGAGGCTGTGGAGAAAAGAGAACTCTTGTACTTTGTTGGTAGGACTATAAACTGGTACAATCACTATGGAAAACCTTATGGGCATTCCTCAAAAGGTTAAAAATAGGACTACCGTATGATCCAGTAATTCCATTTCTGGGTTTATATCTGAAGGAAATGAAATCAGTATCTTGAAGAGATATCTACACTCCCATGTTCACTGTAGCATTATTCACAATAGCCAAGACATGGAAACAACTTAAGTGTCCATTGATGGATGAATGGATAAAGAAAGCGAGGTATATACATGTTCAATGGAGTATTAGCCATAAAAAAGAAGATCTTACCTTTTACAGCAATGTGCATGGACCTTGGGGGCATTAAGCTAAGTGAAGTAATTGAGACAGAGAAAGATAAATACTGTATGTTTTTGCTTATATGTGGAATCTACAAAAGCTGAACACAAAATAGAGAGCAGAATGGTGGTTGCCAGGGACTTGGGGGAGGGTGGATGGGAAGATGTTGGTCAAGGGTACAAAATCCAGCTATAAGATAAATAAGGTCTGGGAATATAATGTACAGGAGGATGGCTATAACTAACAATACTGTATTATACTTGATAGTTATTGATAGAGTAGATCTTAAAAGTTATCTCCACAAGAAAATGGTAATTATGTGAGAGGATGGAGGTGTTAACTAACCTTATTGTGATAACTATTTCACAATACATACGTGCATCAAATCATCAAGTTGTGTCCCTCAAACTTACATATGTTATATGTCAATAATATCTCAATAAAGCTGGAAAAAATAGGATCAGGCTTTTAATATATGAAAATTAGACTGTTTTAATAATTGAAATTCACTGTAAAAGCCATGAGATCTACCAAGATATTAAACAAGGTTGTGAGAAGAAAATTGGATAGGCAGTGACGGAGAAACTTAAGCTATGTCTTGCTTTTCTGCCGTTGAGTCTAGCCTATTTTATCAACCACCTTTTTAATAAATCAAGAAAAAGAAGTATGGTTTTTCTGATCAAAGACGGTAGACTGATCGTGTAGGTTTTTCACCTTGCACTCCCAAGACTACAGATTGAAGGGCACTCTGGGAGCAAGCATCCAGCTGCTCCCGCCTGGCTTCCTTCTCCAGGGTTCTTTCCCCAGCAAACCAAGTGAGGCTCAGTCTCTCAGCTGCTCTCTCTCCTCACTTTGCCAACAGAGGTGGCCTGGGCAGGCCTCTTCTCACAGATCTTTCCAGGCAAGACTCAGATATCAGTCTCTGTCCCCCCAGACTCCAGGGACATATATCAGATTCTCCCAGGGACTCTCTTCTGCTCTCTCCTGCTTGCGGGGCAGGGCAGGCCTCTCCTGAAAAGTTTCAGCATTGCAGCAAGCATTCAGCTGAGGAGAATTGAGACTTAGCCTCACCTTCTGGCAAGTCCTTCCCAGTTTTCTGGGAGATTCTGGTGCTACCCCCACCTAGCTTAAAGGAGGTGATAATCTTTCCCAGGAGGAAGACGGAGAGCCCTGTCTAGGAATACTTTCCAAGGAATTCTCTCTTCCTCTCTGCACCTCTCGACTTCATTCTTAGGTTGGAGGCAGATGAAGGGCTTAGGGTTTCAGGACAAATTTAGCACACTCACCAAGTCCTGTTGGATATGTCTAACTTCTCAATTTAGATTTTACAGAAACTTATCCATATTGTCCTTAGCTTTAGCTGAAATGAGGAAAAACATGAAAACTCCTCATTGTCTAATTAAATTCAGTTAATATCTATTCATTCCCCACAATGAAAGCAGACTTTGTAGCTCATATATACTATATTTGATTGTTATATTACTATTTACTTCTGATCTTTTTTTTTTTGCTGAGGAAGATTCTCCCTGAGTTAACATCTATGCCACTATTCCTCTATTTTGTATGTGGGTCACTGTTACAGCATGGCCACCGATGAGTGGTGTAGCTCTGTGCCTGGGAACCGAACCAGGTGCTGAACTTAACCACTAGACCACAGGGCCAGCCCCTTACTTCTATTTTTTTTTTTTTTTAAAGATTTTATTTTTTCCTTTTTCTCCCCAAAGCCCCCCGGTACATAGTTGTGTATTCTTCGTTGTGGGTTCTTCTAGTTGTGGCATGTGGGACGCTGCCTCAGCGTGGTCTGATGAGCAGTGCCATGTCCGCGCCCAGGATTCGAACTAACGAAACACTGGGCCGCCTGCTGCGGAGTGCGCGAACTTAACCACTCGGCCACAGGGCCAGCCCCGCTTACTTCTATTTTTTAAATAAGAAGCATCTACCTCCACCTGCAGGTCCATCACATCAGTCAGTGTGTTCACTCTCCTCTGTGTAAGATGAAGCTGCTAATGCTCCTACTCAGCCCTTCCTGCTCTTTCCCTCTCCTATCCCCACATACTGTCCACTACACTGTACCTTTATGTCCTTTCAATTGTCAATATTCTTAGTCTTTTTTTGTCTGTATATTGGTTCATATAATTAAGAAACAATAAATTCCATTTATTATTATGACTAGGATATTTTGTTATTTGTTCACTCCACACAAGGCAATGTGAACATTTTCTACTCCAAAAAACCAATGTCAGAACCAAAGAAAAATGTTCCCCACATCATCAGTTGGTTTTTATTTTCCTAAATTCCCTAAGTTACTTAAAATAATTTCACATTTATATCACCCCTTTCATGCACATTTTCCCTCTCTGAAGTTTCTAATCACCTTTATTTTACTTCTTTGGAAAAAACAATATACTTCCGTCATTTTCTCATTTTTCATATTCTTTTAATCACTTATCTACTGAGAAGAGCCTATCTTCTTCTTTTTAATATTTTTAATCTTTATTGGCCTAAAACTCCCAGTTCTTGATTACATATTCTGCTAGAATGGACTTACTTTTTTGGAATGGCTCATTTTGTGAGATGTTCTAGGGGAGTGGCTGGAATTTTTTTCTTTCTTTTTTTCTTCTTTTAGCAACAGCTAAGTAATATTTTTGTTTTAATTGTCATGGTGCTCAATTTCTACCTGCCAGCAGCTGCATACTCAAAACTGAGTCTGGGTCAATCGATTGGACTTCCCTGCCCTAAGGATTATTCTGATGCTTCCATGTGATCTGTTATAGGCAATGACTCAGAAGACTGCTGTACTCGTCCATTCAATTTTTCCGTGAAGTCTCTTAGTTTCTCTCTTCTTGTGTGTCTCCATACCTGGAATGAACAGTAGGGACCACAGAGGATCACACACTCACTTATTAGGGAAGGAGGAAATGTTAAAACAGCCACAAATCACATCATGCCTCTGAAATCATAAGGACAAGAAAAATTGTGCATCTGTAGGGATTATGACTGTACATGGTTTCAATGAAAAGGGAGGAATATTCCTGAGTTAGCTGATGTGAGATAATTGCCCAGTCTGTTCCTTTCTAAGTGCCTCTCTAAAGATGCCGGAAACAGCAAGGGGTACCACAAGGCTTATGAGAAGAGCTACTTCTGTTTGGCCTCCAGAGGGCGATCTTGCGCAAACTAGAATTATAGCTAAAGAACCGCATTATTCCTTCAGCTCCTCCTTCACAGAGCAGGCTAAGGTGTCCATCTGCAGCTCATTACAGACAGTGACACATGAGGAGAATTTAGAAGTCAGAAAGCTTCCAGATTTTTCAAGGAAGAGACTCTTCCAAACGTCTCTGGAATGTGCTTAGGCAGGATTCTAGAGCACCAACCATACCCGTTCTTCCTTGTTCCAAGGGTGCTGTTTCCTTAGCCATATTCCTTCCTGCTCAGAGAAGAGCTTTAAAAAGGGTCCCACGACGTCTTCAATCCTCAGCCATGAACGTGGCTCCTGCGCCGATGCTTCTGATACTTTTTGCCCTGAGTAAGTAAAATTCCATTTCATCCTCCTGTTCCCTGAAAGTACGGTATTGCACCTCAACTCCGAATAGAGACATCTTCTCTTAATAGGTAGTTCTGTCCGGGTCTCATTGACATAGCATTGATGTTTCAGGAGGAACCGGAGCCCAGTCAGTGACCCAGCCTGACGTCCACGTCACTGTCTCTGAAGGAGCCCCTCTGGAGCTGAGGTGCAACTATTCATCTTCTGTTTCACTGTATCTGTTCTGGTATGTGCGATATCCCAACCAAGGACTCCAGCTTCTCCTCAAATACACGTCTGGAAACAGCCTTGTTCCAGGCATCAAAGGTTTCAAGGCTGAATTTAGGAAGAATGAAACCTCCTTTCACCTGAAGAAACCCTCAGCCCATTGGAGCGACTCGGCTGAGTACTTCTGTGCTGTGAGTGACACAGTGCCTGGGACTGCAGGGGGAGCTGAACACAAACTTCTGGTGAATGTGAGGCTTTCAGTGACACAAGGGGTCAAGCTGGGACATTTTCAGTAAGATCTCATGTTGTATAAAGACAAGCAGAGCAGAGGGGACTAAACTGCGTAGCTCTTGTGCTAACGTGGTCTTTACTTAATTTTCAAAGAGTCAGGATTCATGAGGAAAGGACACTTCGTGAGAAAAACACAGTGTCCCCAATAGACTGGAGACTAGACCTTGCTTAGAGAAACGTTTCAAATGGGACAGTGGCAGGGACTGTTTTGTGTGGCGATTGCCATGTGACCTGTGACCAGACAGGAGAGTACTGTGACAGTCTACCCTGGTGGTTTTAATTCATTAGTGGCACCCTAGGCTTCACTCTAGCTGAGGAACTTTTCTTAAGGTCCCATCTGTGTATGAATATTTGACAAACTGAATGGGGAGATGAGGATTAACAACACCTAGAGGAAGGACAGAGGAAAATGTGATAAAATAAAATCACTAAGCATACAGGGAGGATATTTACTGACTATTTCTGTCATTTACTCAGCTCTTCCATTTTATCATAAGCTCAAAAAAATGGAGCTGAGATCCCTGTAAACCCATCCCTGGATCAGGCTGAGGAGGGCCTGGGCTGTGATAACATGGCAGAGGTGATTACTGGAGTGGAGTTGAGAGTAGACATCTGTTAGAGCCTAGTGGGGCTGGAGGCTCCAGTAGAAAACATCTGTATGGACTATTTCCTTTTTTCCTAATTTTTATAACTAAAATGTCTTAAAATGAACTTCTACTCCACTGACTTAGGAATTACTCAATATCCTTGATGAAATTTCTTCTCCAATATCTCTTCCGAGGAAAAAGACAAATAAATGAGGGAAATAAGGAATATAAGTAAAGAGAGGAGAAAAGGGGGAGGTGTAAGACAAGACTGGGGAAAAAGGGAGAAACGTTTTGCTCAAACTGAAAAATGTGGCCCTTCCCTCCTGTTCACAGAGCAGAATCAGGCATGTGGATGTGCAGCATGTAGGGGAAAGTGTCTGATGGGAGAGGAGAGGAGGTGAGAATGAGATCAAGGTGGACATTCCATACATGTCCTATTTCTTTTCCTACCAAGCAAAGTCTAATTGTAGACATATGCTATCTTCATGTATAAATATAGATCTATATTTTCTAGACTTACAAAACTATTTTAATTTCTTTTATTTGTATTTACTTTTCTATCAAAGGGGGTTAACAAAATTATACGTACGATGAAACAGTATTCTTTTGTTCGACATTCCATATAAATAAATTGTCAAATTCTCTATCAAACTACATGTCTTGATTCTTGTTTAGAAAGCAGAGTCCCTGAAACCAAGATCTTCCAGGACTTATTGACCCAAGAGACGTCCCTGGTTCCCTCTGAGATGTCCTCTCACTTTTCTTACCTTCCATCTAAACTTTCAAACTTCCCTTCCTAAAATAATTCTCAAAAAAAGACTGGGGATGTTGGATATGTCGCCTTACTGTTCCCCTGTCCCCACCACATCCACACACCTGAGAGACATTACACACCAGCCTAGACTGGGCCATCATGGGTGGAGTTTCCTGTTTAGAAGCAAAACGACAAAACTCAGGTGTGTGTGTGATTGGTGCTCAGTGATTCTAGTGGAACGTACTGACAGTAAGAACAAAATTTGTCTGGAGTCAGCACTTGACACCCTCCAGAGCAGGAGTGAAGGCACCCAGCAACAGAACAAAGGATCACGAAGAGACACTGGGGAGCTCTGCGGGGGCTTCTGTGGGTCCAGGTTTGCTATGAGTTGGGGCCTTCCCAGATGGGGGACTGGGGAGTGTTCCGCAGCTGACGGTGGGTGGACAGGAAGGGAGAGCTGACACAAAGCTCCTGGATGGTTTCTATGTCCTCATGGGTGTGTCTTGGGATAGTGTATAGCTTTAGAAATGGCATCAGTCACTCTCCAGTGACTTAATTTGTGTTTGCTTTTCACTTTCCAAGCAGGGGTGAAGGGGTGAATGTGGAGCAGAGTCCTTCAGCCTGGAGCCTCCAGGAGGGAGCCAGCTCTACTCTGAGGCGCAATTTTTCTACCACAGTGAACAATGCGCAGTGGTTCAGACAGAATCCTGGGGGTGGCCTCAACCTTCTGTTTTTCATGACTTCAGGGATGAAACAGAATGGAAGATTAAACTCCACAATGAATTCTAAGGAACTGTACAGTACCCTGCACATCACGGCCTCCCAACTGGAAGACTCAGCCACCTACCTCTGTGCAGTGGAGGCACAGTGCTCCCAGGTGATCTGCAGCCTCTACCCAAAACGCAGCCGAGCCTGCAGCAACACCCCTTCCACGGGGAGACTTGCATAGCAGCATTGTGCAGACTTAGGTTTCCTGACTCATTTTTGTCAATATTTTAATTCTTTCTGTGATTATAAATATATAATGCTAACATGGAGATTCTAAAAACAGTGGCAAGATTCAAATCCATGTTTAAGTAAACAGCGGAAGTATCCAATTCAGGGTCAAAGTTAGAGCCTCAGTGAGCAGACCGATATGTTACTAGTGTGAGAAATTTACAAATGTTCATGTGCTGCTGGTACAACTTGTTAATATATATTTTTTTTTTTGAAAAAGATTAGCCCTGAGCTAACATCTGCTGCCAATCCTCCTCTTTTTGCTGAGGAAGACTGGCCCTGAGCTAACATCCATGCCCATCTTCCTCTGTTTTATATGTGGGACGCCTACCACAGCATGGCTTGCCAAGCAGTGCCATGTCCGGGGCCAGGATCCGAACTGGCGAACTCTGGGCAGCTGAAGCAGAACTTGTGAACTTAAGTGCTGTGCCACCGGGCCGGCCCCCTACTTGGTAATATTAACACGTGGGTCAGCTTTTAAGGATGTGAAAAAGAGCATTGTCATACTGGCCATGCTTGTATTCGTAAATTCTGGTGCCTGGAGGTCCTGAATAACAAATATGACAGCAAAGTAGCTAATGTTTAGGGAACACTTACGTGCAATGAGCATTGTATAAACGTCTTTAGTATCACTTAATCTCCATAATACCTTATGATGCAGATACTATGTTGTTCTCATTTTGTTTTAACAACAAGGGAAAGAGGCTTAAACAGAAAAAGTTAAATGACTTTACAAGGCCAAGTCACTAAATGGCAGACTCAGTGTCGGAAGAGAAGTAGTCTGACTTCAGATCCCACATTCTTTTTTTTTTTTTTTTTTTTAAAGATTTTATTTTTTCCTTTTTCTCCCCAAAGCCCCCCGGTACATAGTTGTGTATTCTTCGTTGTGGGTTCTTCTAGTTGTGGCATGTGGGACGCTGCCTCAGTGTGGTCTGACGAGCAGTGCCATGTCCGCGCCCAGGATTCGAACCAACGAAACACTGGGCCGCCTGCAGCGGAGCGCGAGAACTTAACCACTCGGCCATGGGGCCAGCCCCAGATCCCACATTCTTAATCCCTATGCTCTTACCACCTTTTCAGGAACCCATAAATAAAATTATTTATAGAGATAAGTATACAGAATGTTTTAAGAAAAGTCAACAAATAAAAAAATAAATTTTAACAGTTTCTAATTAGTGACTTCTAAGGGAAAGCTAGTTGTAGGTTCCTTATGAAGTGATGATTCATCCATTGTATTCTCTTCTGCAGAACCACCCACTGCCGCCTCCAGCAGGTCTCAGTGACCCAGGCAGCAGAGGTCAGAGACAAACGAGGCCAGGGTCATCCCAAGATTCAACCCCAGGCTCATGCCCTATCAGTCTACCGAGGATCTACTTTCTTCTCTTTAAGAGAGAAGTAGCCAAAATTATTTTATCTGGAGTTCATTCAAACATACATTCACTCAGCAAATATTTATTTTGTAGGACAATATGATAAGCACTGGTGTAGTGGTTGAAGATACCTTATTCTACAATATAGACAAGTTTCCTGCACATCTGGAATTTTTATTCTACTGTGTTGGGAGATAGAATGAGGAAACAATTGGACAAATGACTTCAAAATACAAGTGACGTTAAGAAAATAAAACAGGGTGATGGGAAAGAGATTCACAGTGGTCATGGAGCTCTCTGGAGTGGTGACACATGAACTGAGTCTTGAATGACAAAAAAAATGACCAAAAAACAGGTGCTAAGACATGGGATAAGGAAGAGTTTTCAAATGCAACCGTGGTCATTAGGCAGAAGCAAGTTTGGTATATCTGTGAAAGAAGGCTGATGTTCCCAGAAGGCAGTGAGGAGAGTGGTAGATGATAACGGCAAAGAGGGAGTCAGGGGCCTGATCATATGTGGCCTTGTACCATTATGGTTAGGTTCAAATTTTATTCTACATGTAATGCGAAGCATTTGAAGGGTTTTAAATTAGGTGGTCTAATCTAATTTATATTAGAAGGACCACAGTCCATGCTCTGAGATGGCTCATGGGAGAAGAATGGGGCAAAACTATGGCACGAAGACAGGAAGAGCTTCTAAGGGACCCAATGAGACCCAATGGAGACCTGATGGGGGCTAATTCTGGGAGGAATCCTATAATGTGATCACATAGTCTTTATGTGAACATTTCAAAAGTGAGCTTTCTTTAACAGCAATTGGTTAAAACCAGTCTTTTTCCATGCTAGCTACCCCACTATCAGGCTTTCCTTTGTTTCCGTGGTGTTGGAGTAGCTTTAGACATTTTTGGGAATCTGGCTAAGGTGAGATTGAGTTGAGGACACATTTAGTTTGTGTTATGTGAGATATAGTCAGGGATTTGCAGTGACTTCTGTATATAGTTGAAACTCTGCTAGCCATTCCTGATGTAGGAATTGCTTCCAGGAATATTCTTTCTGTCTACTGGCTGGACTTGCCCAACATGAGGACATGAAACTGTGCAATATTAGCTTGGGCATGTTCTATGGCCCTCAGTACTTAAGTATGTCGGTAGAATAGGAAAATCAAGGTTCGAAATATACAGAGATGTGTTATATAATTAAGTAATTTGCTTATTCTAGGTACCTCATATAAGTGGAATGAATCATACAATATTTGTCTTTTTGTGTCTGGCTTATTTTACTTTAACATAATGTCTTCCAGGGTCGTTCATGTTGTAGCATGTCTCAGAATTCTTTTTTAAGGCTGAATAATATCCCATTGTATAGATAAACCACATTTTGTTTTTTTGTCAATTGATGGACTTTTTGGTTGTTTCCATTTTTTTTGGCTATTATGAATAATGCTGCTATGAACATTCATGTACACGTTTTTGTGAAAATATGACTTTTAATCTGAGACTGGAAGGATAAGGAAGAATTAGGCAAAGCTAGCTAATTATTGGGGATGAGAATCAGGAGTATAAGAAGATAGAAGTAATCTGGGGCCAGATCACTCAGATCTTTGTAAGGAGTTTGGATTTTATTCTAAGTGTAATATCAAAGCCATTGACTAAATGGAAGTTCCACATTGACATGATCCGATTTGTGTTTTAATATTGTCACATTTATTGCTACGTAGAGAATGGATTGTAGGGTGAAAACATAGTAAGGAGACCAGTTAGAAGACTGTTGCAACAGTTTAGGTGAGAGGTGATAACAGCCTGGATTAAGATTATGGCAGTGAATACTGAAATTTGTGAACACATTCAAGATCTATCTCTTCCATCAGGCTTTTTAAAATTGAGATATAATCGACATATTGTGCAAGTTTAAGGTGTACAACATTTTGATTTGATATATAAATATATCACAATATGATTACTACTGTAGCATTAGCTACATCATATCACATAATTATCATTTCTTTTTTGTGGTGAGAACAATTAAGGTCTAGCCACTTAGCAACTTTGAAGTTTATAATACAGTATTTTGACCATGATCACTATGCTGTGCATTAGCTCTCCAGTACTTATCTATCTACTAGTTCTAAATTTGTATACTTGAACAAAATTTATTCCTAGCTACTTTATTCTTTTTGATGCAACTGTAATTTGGATTATTTTCTTAATTTCTTTTTCATATATTTTGTTGTTAGTCTATAGAAATGCAACTGATACTTGTATATTGATTTTGTATCCTGCAACTTCACTAAATTCATTGATTAGGTCTAATAGTTTCTTGGTGGAGTCTTTAGGCTTTTCTATATATAAAATCACATCATCTGAAAATAGAGAGAGCTTTACTTCTTCTTCCTTTCCAATTTGAATGATTTTTATTTCTTTTTCTTGCCTAATTGCTCTGGCTAGGACTTCCAGTATTACGTTGAATAAAAGTGGTGAAAGTGGGCATCCTTGTCTTGTTTCTGATCTTAGAGGAAAAGTTTTCAGCTTTTCAGTGTTGAGTATGATGGTAGCTGTGGGTTCTCATATATGGCCTTTATTATGTTGAGGTAAAATTCCTTTGTACCCATCTTGCTGAGAGTTTTTATCATGAATGAATGTTGTATTTTGTCAAATGCTTTTTCTACATCTATTGAGATGATCATATGATTTTATCTTTCATTCTGTTAATGTGGTATGTCACATTGATTTGTGCATGTTGAACCATCCTTGCCTCCAAGAGATAATTCTCACTTGATCATGGTGTATGATTCTTTTAATGTACTCTTGAGTTTAGTTTGCTAATATCTGGTTGAGGATATTTTCATCTGTGTTCATCAGGGATCTTGGCCTGCAATTTTGTTTTCTTTTAGTGTCCTTGTCTGGTTTTGGTATCAGGGTAATACTGACCTTATAAAATGCATTTGAAAGTGTTCCCTCCTCTTCTATTTTTTAGAAGAGTTTGAGCAGAATTCCTATAAATTCTTATTTAAATGTTTGGTGGAATTCACCCATGAAACCACATCCTGGACTTTTGTTTCTTGGCAGGTTTTTGATTACTGATTCAATCTCCTTACTAGTAGTTGGTCTGTTCATATTTTCTGTTTCTTCTTGATTCAGTCTTGGTGGGTTGTATGTTTCGGTAATTTACCTGTTTCATCTAGATTGTCCAATTTGTTGGTGTATAATTGTTCATAATAGTCTCTTATGATCCTTTGTATTTCTGTGCTATCGGTTGTAACATTTCCTCTTTCATTTCTAATTTTATTTGAGTACTCTATCTTTTTTTCTGGATGAGTCTAGCTAAAGGTTTATATATTTCTATCTATCTGTCTATCTATCAACCTATCTATCTATCTATGAGGCTTTTTAAAAAACCAGCTCTTAGTTTTGCTGATCTTTTCTATTGTCTTTTTAGTCTCTATTTCATTTGTTTCTGCCTTGATCTTTATTATTTCCTTCCTTTTGCTGACTTTGGGCTTATTCTTCTTTTTCTAGTTCATTGAGGACATCTTCCTTAGTTTCTTCATTTTCTTTGACTCTCTGTGTTGGCTTCTGTGCATTAGATAAAAAGGCCACATCTCCCAGTTTTAAAGGGGTGGTCTTGTGTAAGAGATGAGTCTTATCATTTAACCTGGCCCTAGCTCTTGGTTGTCTTTCAAACCTTTGTGATTGTCACAAAATAGGATTCTTTGTTCGTAGTGGCTCCCAATATTTGAGGATGTGCTAAGACCTATCAGTGTCTCAAAGGGAAGGATCTCAGTCAGCTCCTAAATGCAGGCTGACGGGAAGCCAGAAACACACACAGAGTGCACAGGCTTCTTTCAAGGTGATACTAGCAATCTGGAGCAGGGCCAAGGGAGAATGCAAAGATGGTGGCTGTCAACATCCCCAGTCTCTGGAAGGGATTGCTGTTGGTCCCTAGATTTGCGTTAAATTAGGAGTCTGATCCTCAGGCTGTGGCTTTTAAGATGTGCAAATAGGCCTCTCCAGGAAAGACTGAGGGATGGGCATTTCAGTCTGCTTCCTCTGCTCTGAGCTCTGGGAGTGAGTCCTCATGAGGCCACTAAAAACCACTTCTTTGCTTACTATACTCTTGTGGGTCTCGTGGACACAAACCCTGTAGGCTTTCAGAGCTGGGTGTTTTAGGGACCTGTCCATCATGTGGAAGTCTTAAAAGTTAAGGTGCTAGACATTGGGTCCAAACCCTTCACTTCTAAGGGAGAAGCTGGGAGTTGTGAGTTCCCTCCTGATTATATGTTGCCATGCTAAGGGTGGGTTTTATGGCGAGACTGTATCTCCACCTCTCATACCCAATTCAATGTAGATTTTTTCTCATTCATCTAATATATAGGAGTTGCCTAGCTAATTTCTGGATTTCTTTGAGAAGAAATTTTTCTGTGGGAGGAGGTGAGTTCTGGAGCCTCCTCTATTGTCATCTTGAACTAGAATCTCTATTCTATGCCTATGTTTTTGATAGTAAGGCAATATTTAATGAAAAAAATCATAGAGCTGAGAATTTGTCCAAGAAATGTCCAAGGAGTGTCCTAGGGTTATAGTAAATATATGGAACAGTATGCCACAAGTGGATCATATTCAGACCAGTAGTTTCAATTCTAGATGCTATATTTCAAAAAGACAAATGTTGATCTAAAAGTGTCAAGAAAAGTGCTATAAAATGCGACTAAGAAGGGAAACAAAAGAAAAAATAAACAAATGGGATTATATCAAACTAAAAATCTTCTGAAAGGCAAAGGGAACCGTCGACAAAATAAAAGACGACTTACCAGCTGGGAGAAGGTATTTATAAATCATATATCAGATAAGAGGTTAATATCCAAAATATATAAATAACTCACACAACTCAATAACAAAAATACCCAAACAACCTTATTAAAAAATGAGCAGAGTATCTGAACAGATATTTTTCTAAAGAAGATATACAGATGGCCAACAGACATGTGAAAAGATGTTCAACCTCACTAATTATTAGGGAAATGCAAATGAAAACCACAATGAGATATCACTTCATGTCGATCAGAATGGCTATTATTAAAAAGACAAGAAATATCAAGTGTTGGAGTGGATATGGAGAAAAGGGAACTCTCATATAGTGCTGGTGGGAATGTAAATAGATGCAGCCACTATGGAAAACAGTATGGAGATTCCTCAAAAAATATAAAAATAGAAGTACCATACAATTCAGCTATTCCACTTCTGGATATTTATCCAAAGAACATGAAAACACAAATTCAAAAAGATACATACACCCCTATGTTCATTGTAGCATTGTTTACAATAGCCAAGACTTGGAAACAACCCAAGTGACCATTGATGGATGAATGGATAAAGAAGATGTGGGGTGTGTGTGTGTGTCTATATATATACATAATGGAATACTCCTCAGCCATAAAAAGATGGAATCTTGCCATTTGTGACAAGATGGATGGACCTTGAGAGTATGACGCTAAGTGAAACAAGTCAGATGGAAAAAGCCAAATACTGTATGATTTCGCTCATATTTGTAAGATAAAAACATAGATACAAAGAACAGATTGGTGGTTACCAGAGGGGAAGGAGGGTGGGGTAAGGGTGAAAAGGGTAAAGGGGTAAAGGGGGGCATGTGTATGGTGAGGGATGGCTACCAGATTTTTGGTGAGGAACACAAGGTAGTCTCTACAGCAGTCGAAATATAATAATGTATGCCTAAAATTTATATAATGTTATAAATCAATGTTACCTCAATAAAGATATTTTAAAAAATTGAAAAAAAAAATGCCACTGGGGCCGGCCCAGTAGCGCAGTGGTTAAGTGCCCATGTTCCGCTTCTAGGTGGCCTGGGGTTCACTGGTTTGGATCTCGGGTGCGGACATGGCACTGCTTGGCATGCCACACTGTGGCAGGCACACCACATATAAAGTAGAGGAAGATGGGCACGGATGTTAGCTCAGGGCCTGCATTCCTCAGCAAAAAGAGGAGGACTGGCTGTAGTTAGCTCAGGGCTAATCTTCCTTAAAAAAAAATTTGTAAGTAGAACACAAAATGGGAATATAAATTTTGCGCTATACATAGCAAACATTGGTTACATCACTTCAAAGTGCAGGGAAAATCACAAGAGGGCGCTCCTTTCCTCAGATGTGATTTATTCCCACATTCACATGGTGGTTTGACACTCATTGGCCCTCCTCTGTGCGTATCATGTTCTCTCTTCAGTTGGTGAGTTGCTGCAGGTCTGGAAGGTGCTCTTTCCAATGGAGAAAGGACTCTCCGGAAGATCCTATCCAGGATCCGGAACTGAGACTAGAGCAGCACCCTGTCAGCTTTGGAGTGTTAAAGGGGACAAAGCCCTTTGTCTTGCCCACAGTTCAAGCAGCCATACTCTCTGCTTTTGCTTAATGCTTGTGGTGGTCTTGCTCCTAATTCGCAGTGAATAATGTTCTATTTTTAAATTATTTTCTATTCTTAGGTATAGGTGACGATATCTAGCTCCATTTCCTCGCTGGAGACTGTCCTTCTGTTTATATATTCCTAACTAACAAAATCTTAATTATTTTAGGAGGAAGTAATGAAGAGATGGTGACCCAGACGGACGGTCTTGTTACTTTCCCCAAGGGGCCACTTCTGACCCTGAACTGCACTTACCAGACCAGCGATTCAGTTTTCCTTTTGTGGTGTGTCCAGTATTACAATAAAGCTCCTAAACTCCTCCTGAACTACTCCTTTCTGAGCTCAACAGAAAACCAGTGGACAGAACGTCAAGGTTTTCAGGCCAATCATGTTAAGAGTGATGGCTCCTTCTACTTGCAGAAACCCTCAGTGCAAATGTCGGACTCAACTGTGTACTACTGCGATCTTAGAGACACAGTGAGGGGGACTGCAGGCGGAGCTGAGCACAAATCCAGGTGGGGCCTGGTTGTGGGCAGCTCTGGGAGGGGAGAATTACGATTTCTCTCATTAGTATCTTGGGTTGGGGACAATTGGAGAAGGAAAAATTTCCAGCTTTGATGTCTCAGAACTCAGGAGCCCTGGTGTTACTACAAGCTATAGAAATGCGGAGAGGAAATCTAGGTGAAACTCTGATTTCCATATTCCAGAAATGTTCCTGTTTTCAGTCAGAATTCCATTTCTTTGTGCCAGATTGATAAGTAGCCCATGATAAACATTTGCTGAAATTCCCTGTGACTCCACTGCCAAGTGAACATGTGGATTCAGTCTTTCCTGAGATATTTCCATCTCTAAGATTGGAAAACTGCAAAGATATCATCATTTTTAGGGAAAATATAGACTAAATAAGATATCAGGAATCCAGTTCCACTGATTTCTTTTCTTTTCTTCCCTGACCCCAGCTTTATTGACATAGTTGACATATAACATTGTGTAAGTTTAATGTGTCCAATGTGTTGATTTGGTATACCTATATGTTGCAGTATGGTTATCACTGTAGCATTAGCTAAGGCCTCTATCACATCACATAATTACTTTTTTGTGGTGAGAACATTTAAATTCTACTCTCTTAACAACTCAAGTGCGCAATACATTATTGTTGACTATAACAATGCTGTACATTAGGTCCTCAGAAGTTATTAATCTTTTAACTGGAAGTTTGTATCCTTTGACCAACATCTCCCACCCTGAGCCACTGGCTGCCACCATCCTACTCTTTCTACAAGTTTTATTTTTTTAGATCTCTCATATAAGTAAGATCATACAGTATTTGTCTTCCTCTGTCTGACTCATTTCACTTAGCATAATGCCTTCCATTTCCATCACTGTTGTAGCAAATATTAGATGTCCTTCTTTCTCATGTCTGAATAATATTCCATTGTATATATACACTGCATTTTCTTTACGCATTCATCCATTGACAGACGCTTAGGTTGTTTCCATATCTTAGGTCATATACACAGAAGTGAGATTGCTGGATCATATGGTAATTCTACTTTTAATTTTTTAGTACCATTGATTTCTGCACATGTCTCTTCAATTCTGATGGAAATTACCCTTCTCACAAGTCCTTGTTGTAGGAACTCCATCCTCAGCTCCTGGGGTCTTTGTTTATTTCTTTCTCCAGCTTTTCCTTCCTTCCTTTGCAGCTGTTCAAAACCTCTGTTGGGAAAGGAGGTCTTTCAGGAGAGGTTTCTGTTTGGAGTCTCTTCCCCATACTCTTATTGACACAGCCAGTGAGGATGAGCCCAGTCAGGAAACACCAAGAGGAAAGCCTCAACTTGGCTCTTCATTTAAATTCTAAATAAGGACGCCAATCACATTGGGTGTTAGGACTTTAACACGTGATGCTATGGGTAAGGTTCTGGATTCTTGATTTGGGGCTCTGAATATATCCCTGATGATTTGGAGTAAGACATCTTTGGTTTGGATCCAAGTCTTCCTGTGTGGTTTAAGACAATATTCTATTCATTATTATTATACCTGCCTCTGTATTGTAAGGAAGTCTGATCTCTTTGGGTACTGTTCTATCCCAACTATGGGTCCTTCTCCCAGGAAAGATCCTTCAGCGCCGATGTGCATAAAAAGCATACAAGAGGGTGAACTATCTTTCTTAGTGGTCATCAAGTCAAACTAACATAATGGTTCTGTGTTTCCTAGGAGCATGATCCCTCACTGTAAACTAGGCACCCATTTTAGATTCTAGAACTGAACACCTAATTGGCTTTAGGACATCAGAGAAGATCCTGGGAGCTGCAGCAGCAACCTTATAACTTCAGCTGGACTGTGAGGATTCATAAAGAGAGGAGTGGAAAAACCTAGGAAATATTCCCCACAATGCTTGCAGATGCAAACTGTAGGAGCTCCATGTGTCCTTTCTGGGGTGCCAGTGGGTTGCGGGAAAATGTAATTTCAAAGACTTGATAACCTAATGATCCAAAAACTTGATGTTATGGACAGATTTGTGTCCCCACCACCTCATCTTCCAATTCATGTGTTGAAACTCTTAACCCCCAGTGTGACTGTATTTGTCTTTAGGGAGGTTGTTAAGGGTAAATGCGGTGAAATTTTCACCAGATGTTAGCTTAGGTCTAATATTGCTCAAGCAAACAGAAGAAGATTGGCAACAGATGTTGGCTCAGGGCCAATTTTCCTCACCGAAAGGAAAAAAATTAACTATACAATGCCCTTCAGTTGCAGGAAAATTTGTTCTATCACTCCTTGGATAACTTTTTCTCTTTTTTCTGCTTCTCTTTTGCTAGGACATATATTATTTGCCTTTTTTATCTCCAAGATTGATTATCTATGTAGTATTATATTTTATTTCTTGATTCTTTATCTTTTCTTATGTGTCCTGAGAGATTTTCTTAATTTGGCTTTTCAGATCATCCACTGATTTTTAAAAAGTCTTGGCAAAAGTATTTCTAGTCTCTAAGAGCTCTGGGTGCCAGTAGTACTCCATCTGCCAGTCATGGCAACCAAAAGTGTGTCCAGATTTTCCAAATGTCTCGTTGGGGAGGCAAAGTCGTTATTGATTAGTTATCACTCAGTTAGATAATTTATACTGATCTATTTTCAAGTTCACTTACTCTTTTATTGTCATGTTCATCCTGCTTTTGAGTCCTTACTGTGAGATTTTATTTCACATATTGTATCTTTCAGTCCTAAAGTTTCCATTTGCTTCTCTTTGTAGTTTCTATTTCTTTGTTGAGAATTTCTATCTTATCATTCATTTCAAATCTGCTTCATTTTACTTCATGAAATATAGTTAAAAGAGCTGCTTTAACTTCTTTTTCTATTAGTTCTAGCATCTTAGCCATCTTGACACTTGCATCTACTGATTATCTTTTACTTAGATATTAGTCAATTTTTCTGTTTCTTTCTATGTTGCATAATTTTGGAACACATCTTAAACATTTTAAATGTCATATTGTATAAACTTTTTTTTTTAAATTAACCCTCTGGAGAATGTAGATGTTTTTGTTTCAGCAGTGAATCAAGCTAGTTTGGTTCAGACTGTGTTTTGTCCCTCCTTTCATGAGTAAGACTCAAATATCTATTCAGTTCTCTTATAATTTGCTATGTTGGTTTGGGTCTTTCCCAGCCATGTGTGGCTCAGGGATTAGTCTGAAACTTCTTTTGCGGGGGTGGTGAAATTTCAGGTCAGTTCCTGAAACTGCTGCTCCATTGGTTTGAGTCTATCCTGCTTGCGTGCCACTCAGGGCTTAGTCTGAGACTTGGTTCACATTCAGCTCAGTTACCTAAGCTTTGTTATTCTGGTTCTAGTCTGCCCCCTGTATGTGGAGCTCTGGTATTAGCCTGGGATTTCAGCTGTTCTCCATGTCTTTCCTCAGGGTCTCCCCACTCCAGCCCATCCCAAACGGCCAGACAGGCTGTGTTTCATTCAGAGTTTTAGCTTCCTCGTCATTGCCACACTGCTATCAGGGGCCTGCCATCAGAGCAAAGCCAAGAAAAAACAGAATATGTGACGTTCTCCTTTGTGCAGATTGCTTCTCCAATTTTTGACTTCCCTACATAATCTGCCTGCTCTGGCATAATTTTCACAGGCCACAGGTAGTTACCTTATGTATTTTGTTCAGTTTTTACTCATATCATGGGAGAGAGAGACTGTAGGTATCCTAAAGCTATCTCCTATTCTACTATGTTCTCACATTAATTTCTAGCTTTCTATAACATTCATTAAGAATGGCTATTTGCTGTTTTCCTCACACTATTATTTTTATTATCCTCCTTTAGTTAAATTTCTCCAGTTTTTATATTTGCAAATGCTTTTTTCTTATCAAGATGATTAGGATCATTTAATTAAAGTCTTGATTTTCTGGGTCTTTCACCTCTCATTCTCCAAACTAATGAAGTTTTTCCTCTGGTGCTGGAAAATGGGAATGCTTACTTGTTTATACCCATGCTTTAAGTACTGCAATGTTTTTTCTAAACTCTAAAAATTTCTGGATTCTGCATCAATTTCCAAGAGCATGCTAAGGTATGGTGCAACTATTTAAAGGCTATGTCTTTTCGGTACCTAAACAGAGCTATTTTGTTTTTAACTTTCTCTTTCTCTCTCTGTTTTTTTTAAAAATTTTCTTAATTTTTGCCTTTTTTAATGAGCCAAGGTGTTTTGTTTTCTGGGCTGTCTGTGAACACCCTTTAATCGTCCTAGCAATCAGTATATTTCTTAGAGTCCTGTCAACATCCTTAAAAGAGAATATCCTATTCCTGATCTTATTCTTCCTCAACTATGAGATGTAGCTTCTACCACCAGTGAAGACTGAATTCCTGTGCATTCTTCCAGGGCCGAGGAAACAGTACTGTTCTAAGGCATCAAACAATTCTGTGGTCTTTGGCTTTGTACATTCTGTGCTTTGCCAATGACCAGAAACATTGAGAGGAGTTAAAAGGGCTACCAGCCTGAAAGCCAGCAGGTATCGCCCCTCTTAGCTTATCTCTGACTATATTTTTTCTGTCCTAACTTTAATCCTCATTATGACCCCATCTGCTTTCTGTATTCTGGAAATATGTGTAAATCTCTTATCTCCAGATGGTCCCTATTCTTTTTATTCTTATGGATTTGAGTTTATCCCCTTTTATATTTCTATTCTTTTAGTTAGGGAGAAATTTGGAAGAGATGGGAGGTGAGTATACAGCTCCCAGAATCAGAAGTCCACATTCATAGACTACAAATTCACAAATTGGCAGCATTACTAAATCTTCTATGTGAAAGATAATCTTGACAGGAAGCAACAAGTGAATGAAGAACCCAAGGAGAGGGCTGGGCTCATGATCCTGGAATCAAAGAATAGTATTTTGACTTTTATCAAAGGCTCCATTGGCCTCAGAGAAAGCAGAGACTTTCTCCGTTCTGAGGTCTCCAGAGATTGCTCTCTTAGTGTAGGTGATTTCCTTTAGCAACAGAGATTTCTATAGTTTATTTCCTTTAGCCTTAGGAAAATGTCTTCCCATCCAGAGTTACTCCTTGCCTCATAGCAGCATTACTCTCATTTTGTGGGCCCTGTCTTTTCTTTATTTCACAAGTATCATGTGGATCCATGAGCATCAGCCAAGGGAAATATCTCTGCCATGTTCCATCACCACTATGGCAGCAC